AAATTTGGGAATGACCAGTTGCAAAAACAAGAGCCTGGAATTCCCGTCCCTTTGGGAATGAGAATGATCAGAACAAGAAGCAGAATCAATAGAAAAAAGCAATGAACCGGAATCCCCCCAAAGGCGCCCGCCTCTCTTGGAATAAGGAGAAAATCATGGCGATGATAAGTAGGCTAATATGCAAAACATGAATCTTCAATTCCCCAAAGGCCCGCCCCCTTGGGAATAATAAGAAACAACAGAACATGTAGAATAACTAGAAAGATTAGAGCAAACGTGAATCTGGAGATTCCCTAAAGCACCCGTCCCTTTGGGAGAATGATTATAATAAGTGAATGAGTAGATTGAATCTGGAATTCCTCAAAAGGGACCCGTCCCGTTGGGCAGAATTGAAATAATCCGGGTACTTCCAAAAACAGAAAATATCTGAAGTAGAAGGATTAGAGATACTATGAGTCTGAAATTCCCCAATTTGAGGAATGAAGAAATTGAAAAACAAGAATCTGGAATTCCCTACAGGCACCTGTCCCTTTGGGAATGCCAAGAATAAATAGAGCAGTTATCAGAACTAGAATCATTAAAAACATTGAAAAAACAAACATGATTCTGGAGCTGAACAAAAGGCACCTGTCCCTCTGGGAATAATAATAATCATTATAATAGCTACGATGAGTAGACAACATTTCCCAAGCATGAATGTTCAATTTTTCAAGGGCACCCGTCCCTGTGGGAGTAATTAGAAAATTAGAGCAGTTAGAACAACTAGAATAATCGAACACACATGAACCTGGAGATTCCCAGAAGGCACCTGTCCCTTTGAGAAGACTGATCATAAGAAGTAGAATTAGTGTAGCAGACAATGAATCTGGAACTCCTCAAAAGGGCCGCCCCGTTGGCGATACTTGGACAATGCGGGTAGTTCCAAAACACCTGAAGTTGAATAAGAGAGAGACCATGAATCAGAATTTCCCCCAAATTTGGGAATGACCAGTTGCAAAAACAAGAGCCTGGAATTCCCGTCTTTTTGGGAATGAGAATAATCATGAGAAAAATATATCAGAAGTAGAACCAACAGAAAAAAACTATGAACCTGGAATTCCCCAAAAGGCGCACGCCTCTCTTGGAATATGGAGAAATCATGGCGATGATAAGTAGGCTAGTATGCAAAACATGAATCTTCAATTCCTCAAAGGCACCCGCCCCCTTGGGAATAATAAGAAACAACAGAACATTTAGAATAACTAGAAAGATTAGAGCAAACATGAATCTGGAGATTCCCTAAAGGCACCCGTCCCTTTGGGAAGAATGATTATAATAAGTTCATGAGTAGATGTGCTAGACTAGAAAATGAATCTGGAATTCCTCAAAAGGGACCCGTCCCGTTGGGAATAATTGGAATAATTTGGGCACGCCCAAGAACAGAACATATTGTACGTAGAGTAGTTAGAGAAACAATGAATCTGAAAGTTCCCCAATTTGGAGAATACAGAATTGGAAAAAGCAAGAATCTGGAATTCCTCGCAAGCACCCCCCCCCTTTGGGAATGACAAGAATAATGGGAAGACGTACAAGGCACCCACCTCTTGTGTAGTAATTGTTGTACCTAGAACAACAAAGGTGCCCGTCCCTTGTAAATAATAATGATAGTAGTATTTTACAAGACTGATGATAAGTAGACTAATCAGCGAACGTGAATCTTGAACTCACTAAACGGCACCTTCCTGTTTGGGACCAAATAGAAAATAGGGAAATAATCTAGAACTTATTAAATGGGAGCTGCTCATTTGGGAATGGCTCGAATAGTTTGAACAATGCGGGAACCACGAATCTCGCCACCAACAGGCCCCATCCCTTTTGACACAATTATCCTACCCAGGGCAAACACGAGCTTGGAATTCCCCAAGACGCACCCCAGCTCCCTAGGGATTCAATTAGAATAATATAGAATGATTATGATAAGTAGAATACTTAGCAATCAGGGCTCTTGAATTCCCCAAAAGTCACCCGTCCCTTTGGGAATAATGATGAGAATTAGAAGAGTTATGATAAGTAGAATAGTTAGAAAACATGAATCTGGAATTCATCAAAAGGCACCCCACTTTTTGGAAGAAGTAGAATACTTAGATTAGTTCAAATAATTAGCACAAACATAAATCTGGAGTTCCCCCAAAGGCACCCGCCCCTTTCGCAATAAGTATGTAAATGAGAATAATTGTAATTTTGTGGGGAAGCATACCCAATAATTAAGACAGTAGGACAAAGATGGGTTTGGAATTCTCCAAAAGCAACCCGTCCCTCTGGGAAGAATTATAATAATTAGAACAAGTAATATAGTTATGATAAGTAGAATAGCTGGCAAACATGGATCTTGAATTCCACAAGACACACCCGCCCCTTTGGGAATGATTAGAATGAGAATAAGTTGATTAGTTAGAATACTATAGTTGAAACACACATGAATCTGGAATTGGGATTTCCGAAAAGGCACCAGTCATTGGGAATAGCTAGAACAAAGGAACTAATTAGGGGCGGATTCCCCACAAGGGGCCCCGTGCCGTTGGGAATGCGTGCTACAACCAGAATAATCAGAGCAGAATGACCTGGAAACCACACTGGACTTCACCAAATGGCTTGAAAACAAAGAGAATCCTTAGATTTGCTTAAGTTGTTAGAATGAGTAAAATAATTAGATCAACCATGAATGTTGATTTCCCCAAAAGGTACCCTCCTGTGGGAATACATCAGAGAGTGATGATTGCTATGAGAAGTAGACTAACTCGAACACATTTGACCCAAAATGCACCCGCCCCTTTGCGAATAAATGTAAAATCACGTAGAATGATTCGAAAACACGTGAATCTGGAATTCGCCAAAGGGCAGCCGTCCCTTGGTGAAAAATATGTAATAATCAGAATAGCTGTAAGAATTAGGACAATGCACCTGGAATTCCCCAGAGCGCGCCCGTCCCTTGGGTAATAAATAGAACAAGTATAAATTTCAATGAGCTAGAAGAAATTGTTTCGGAATTCCCCAACAGTCCCCTGCCCCTTTGGGAGTTTCTAGAATGATTCGAAAATTAAAAAGAAAAAGGGCGTTTTGTTTGTGTTAGTGTACTTGGTGTGTGTGTGTATTGCTTGACACTCTGTTTGAGTGCCCTTTGTGCTCTCAGTTTCTCTCTCTCTCTCTCTCTGCTTGTGTTTGCGTGCGTGCGTGCGTGCGTGCGTGCGCGCGCGTGCGTGCGTGCGTGCGTGCGTGCGCGCGTGTGTGTGTGTGTATCATGAGTGAGGGAAACATCCCCCCCGCGCGTACCACTTTGGGGGAAACAATCATCCCGCGCGCGCACGCCACATAGGACCTAATCTTCCCTGCCACCCCCCCCCCCCCCCCCACCCTCCCCAGTAATCTTCCGTAATCTTTCGGCTTCTTCCCGTAGTCTTCCGTAGTCTTCCGGCTTCTTCCCGTAGTCTTCCGTGGTCTTCCGCCTTCTTCCCGTAATCTTCCGTAATCTTTCGGCTTCTTCCAGTAGTCTTTCGTAGTCTTCCGGCTTCTTCCCGTAGTCTTCCGTAGTCTTCCGTAGTCTTCCGTAGTCTTCCGTAGTCTTCCGTAGTCTTCCGGCTTCTTCCCGTAGTCTTCCGAAATCTTTCAAGCTTCTTCCCGTAAATTTCCGCAATCTTTCGGCTTCTTCCCGTAGTCTTCCGTAATCTTCCGGCTTCTTCTCCTAGTCTTCCGATACTGTTTCGGGACCAAACAACGCGCGGGTCCTGTGCTTTCGGGCTTCTTCCCTAGGCTTCGGGTAGTCTTCCCCCACCCCTCCGCCCCCTGTGTCTGTCTATGTCTGTCTACGTATCTGCATCTGTCTTCGTGTCCGCGAAGACCCCCCCTGCCCCTGCGTGTCTGTCTGTGTCTCTTTGTGTCTGTCTGGGTCTGTCTGCGTCTGTCTTCGTGTCCGCGAAGACCCCTTGCGTGTCTGTCTCTGTCTCTTTGTGTCTGTCTGTGTCTGTCTGTGTCTGTCTACGTATCTGCGTCTTTCTTCGTGTCCCCCCCCCCGCGTGTCTGTCTGTGTATTTGTGTCTGTCTGGCTCTGTCTGCGTCTGCCTGCGCATCTGCGTCTGTCTTCGTGTCCGCGAAGACCCTCCCCCCCCGCTGCGTGTCTGTCTGCGTGTCTTTGTGTCTGTCTGTGTCTGTCTACATATCGCGTGCTTTCTCTCGTCCCGGGCCGAAATTCTAAGGTGTGTGGGGGCGGCGGAACCAGGCCGCAGGCCATTAAATACTTTGTTGGCCTTAGCTAAACACAGTTAGTTGCGTTCCAAACTTCTGCACCTTCCTGAGAACCATCCACGAATCCCCTAACACACCTGCTATTCATGAGGACAAACGCTTGTTCACTGTGTGGCTCGCATTTGATCTGCTCCTCGGAAGGAGATGACATCTGCTTCTATTAGGTCAATATCTGGTCAATATTTGCTTTGTTTTGGGGGGAGACATGCCAGCTGCGCATTCCAACGCCCAACCACTGTCAAGCAGGTACGTTTCACCAGAAAAATGCGAGGTCTTCGTTGGGCAAGGCTCGCATTTTTTCTCCTTGGCCCCCTGCTCTGCTTTCAAGAAGGTGCGTTTCTTCATTATCAGAATGGTCACGCACACACACACACAACTCCTATGTCACCTTGTGTAGCCTTCCACTCTGCTTTGAACTCCTAATAAGACAAGGCTCCAGATACGGACTTTGACGAGCCATGCTATTCGATTTGCAGATTTCTAAGAACCAAGGTCACTGCAAAAGGGCTTGCCGGCCCACCTCATACTTCATCCTTGCTGCCCATCCTTAAATTACATACTAGAAACATAATTGCTTTTTGCTATGACCACCACGAGTTGAGTAGCATGGTCAAATTGAATACGCACACCCTAAGAGGAGTAAAACTGCGACTTGCGGGAACAACCTGGGTTGAATTCAAACGAGACATCAGCTGCTTTCCAGTTCCAGCGAGTCAGCCCACCTGTGTGAAGCTGGGGTCTGCCTCACGGAAGAGCTTCACGTTCCTGCGATGCGATGACGACACCGATCATGAAACAAATCAGCGTGTTTGTGTGAATCTAACGTCTGAATTTCATCGCACTGTAGCAGGCAGTTTTGTCTACGTTGACATGCCAAGAGGGTCCTGAAGCTTGTGACACCTCTGCGATCTCGCTCCACTTCAAACCTCTTGTGAAAATGCTCCAAGATGCCCGCGTCCTGCGACAAACACCGACTCCGACGTGCCCCTCAAGACTTGCAAATGAACGATGAATCACCAGCATCGAATCTTTTGACAGAGCCCTGCCTTGATAAAGAGGTCCAACAAAGAATTGCGACTCGCAGACAGCGTTATCACAACAGCAGATGCCTGAGCAAAAGGCCAGTCAGTATTGGCTGGGGAAGTCCTGGCTGGGGAAGTCCTGCTGTTCTGGGGCTGTTCTATCCCCAAATCGAACTTCTCACAACGCAACTTACACTGCACGCTCCCTAAAAGGTACTTTCCACTTTACATCCTGTGCTCTGAAGGCCCTCTCTGAGCATGGGGTTGTAGTTGGCTAAGGAAGATCACCCCATGTCTCAGCATGAGGATTGTGTCATTTATGCAGCGGGGCTTGAGGGACCTCAAAGAATGCGGCTCCCTCGTTTGCAAGGTGCCCTCGTCCTCAAGGCCCTAAGGCACAGTCTCTGGACCCTAGGCCGCCCTGCCGCGGTCACAGTGGCTCCGCAGGGCGCTGCATCCCCAGAGCCGGAGTTCAACACCTCAAGGAGATCAGTTGCGTTCCATGCGTTCCATGCGTTCCACGCGTTCCATGCGTTCAGGCAGATTCGGAAAAAGAAACACCGAAGCTGACCACACGCTCATTGAAGGTTTTGGGAGCCGGATCAGACGGCCCTTTTTTGGGTTTAGGGTTTAGGGCTAAGCCTGCCCCCAAATGATGAACGGTCGACCCCTGATAATACAAATCTCGGAGGGTTTTGTTATTAGGGCCCCCGGTTTCTGGCCAGAACTGTTTCAGATTGCGTTGTTGAGTATTGGGTGCCAGTTGGAAAAGAGGGACCCCTTTGATTTGCAATAAAGGGGTTATAATGCAACTTTGAGTAAGAACTGTTAAAGGAAAGGCGCCCTTGTCTCTTTCAAAAAGCAATAATGAAAACCGCTCATGAAAGGCAACCCTTTGGTTTGAAAGAAAAAACACACGCAGAATACAACTTTTGAGTAAGACCTTATGAAGGGAACCTAATGGAGACCTGAAAAACCGCTCACGCAAGGCAACCCTTCAGTTTGAAAGCAACAAGCGCTCATAATGCAACTTTTGACTGAATCTACTGGAGACCCCAATAACGAACACCTCTGACACAAGGCAACCCTTTGTTTTGAAAGCACAAAGCGCTTTTGAGCAAGATTTTATGAAGGGCACCTGATGGAGACGCATAATAAAACAAAAACACTCGTGCAAGGCAAGCCTTCAGCTTGAAAGAAAGAAGCGCTTATGACACAACCTTTGCGAAGGAACCTAATGGAGACCCCACTACTTAAAAAAGCTCTTGCAAAGCGAACCCTTGGTTGGAGAGAAAAACATTCAGAATACAACTTCTCAGTAAGACCATATGAAGGGAACCTAATGGGACCCTGAGCCCTATTGACCATTGTTAGGGTGGCCCGAAACAAGCACATGCGGGGAGCTTGGCTGTGTTCATCTGGTTTTCAGGGAGTCTAGTATTGATTTAGTATTGGATAACTTAATATTAGTATTGGCAATGGAAGAAGGGATTACCTTGCCTCACCCTGTAATTTTCCTCCCCAAATACTCAATGATGGAAATAACAAGGGGTACCCAATGGCTTTTGGCTTAACCGACTCTGTGTGGACACATGTCTGTGAGGTAGGTGAGAGTGGGGCAAAGAAGGGCACGGTTGAGATGGGTTTCCCAAGCTAGAGGCCTCTTTGATTTCAAGGCATACCATCGCGTTAACGCCGACTTGCAAATGTAAGCAAACGAGATCCTGCAAGGTGCAGTGATACATTGCCATTTTTCCCAAAGGAATGGCTCTTGAGTCATCAACGATAAATGGTAGCACCCTTGTGTACTGTCAAATAGCAACGCGTGCGAATGAGAGAGGAAACACATACGGAGAGAACGTAAACAGCTAGCGATTTGATCCTGCCCGGGTAAGTTTAGTAACGCCGTTGAGTGTCAATTTACATGAGTACATGTCATCGGCCCTTCACAAACGCCAGGCCATTGGCAGAGCGCTCCCCCAGGATGGACTTGGGACCTTATCTGCGGGATGCCTCCAATCTGCTCAAGATCTGTTCAATGCATGACAAACACAATCTACCAACACATTGATATCAACAAACCAGCAGCAACACCTAATGTTGAATATCAAGTACAACATCACATGGCAATTGGCAAGGTCTCACTTTCTGCAACTTGTTTGACAGCAAACTATAAACTTACGGCACACCACAATGCAATTTAAACATCAAACAAGTGAACCGTGCACTGGTGCAATAGGTGCGCTGCCCAGCTTGTTCAGCACCTGTCAAAGTGAAGTTGCCGGCATGGCAGCAAGGCAAGTGGTAGATTCGGGGTGGCACCACGTGATGCTGGGCATGGGCTGCTCTTCTTCTTCCATGTCTGACAGCGTCGTGCATCTTTCAACAAGGAGCGCAGTGCCAGCTGCGGTTCCTACAGCTGGCATTGAGGATCAGCACTTGCATGTTCTAGGAAATTTGGCCGCCGCAACTATCAGCAGGCAGCAAATTTGTCCGCACCACATGTGGCAACTGGCAGTAACCGGAAAAGATCTGTATGCAGCAACATAAGGAGGCCGTGCATCCGACTAGCTATGGGCTAGTCTGAAGATGATGAGTCGCTTTCACTGAAAGATCCTCTTGAAGTGAGGTGGTGTGCTTGCCTCATCGGCTTCGTGGTACCAGTCAGGGCATGTGACGCCGGCCACGATACTTGTCCGATGATATCAGGCGATTGCTGCCGCCTCTTAGGACGAATCCAATGCCCTCGTGCGAAGCCTTCCTGAGTCGCAAAAGCCAAACGCCGCTTGTGCCATCTGGGGTCTATTGGGCATTGACCCCAAACGCAAAAAAAACAACAGCAGCCATTTGGGATGAGACACAGAATCGGCTTCCAGCAGCAGTCTGCGCCAGGCAGCATGATCCTTTTGAATGATGGACATTGCAAGCTCCACCCCATGCACTTCGAAGTGAAGCTTGGTAGCTCCCGTGTTGGAGTGGCTCTTGAACTCGTCCTTACGTCAAATAATCCGTGTACACTGCTAGAGTGAGTACAACTTGAGCACATACAAAACAACCAACTTTCAACGACTTACAAACGCTGCACTTTTGTGCTGAGCATCCATCCAGGTCAGGATCTCGCGTGTCCGACCTGGCCACATGTTCTCTACCTCTGCCATGCTGCGGAGGTCTTTTCCTGGACCCTCATCTGCATTCACGACGAGAATCTTCCAGTCAGCCTGGCCCTCATCGATGAGGCACACAGCGCCAAGGGGCCGGCACCGGACCACCTCACCTACCTGCGGCTTGCTTTCGACAGCGCTTGTACCCATCAAGTCACTGGCGCCCCGTTGTGGTAACATCTACGCACACACACACAAACATGCTTGCATCTGTTGTACACATACCCCTCCAGAGCGACCTGCAGGAAGTGCTTTAAATTTCCAAGCGAATCAGGGCTCGCAATTGAAACATGAACGTTCTGGAATCGTCAATCCAGAGCCTCAAGGCAGGTGCGCCTCGAGCTTTCTTGGATTGCACATTCAAAACCAGTTGCCATATTTAGACTCTTCAACCTCAACATGGTTTTATATGCTTCAACACACCTTCCTTCAGGTACGCCAAGCAGGAGTTCTGAGAGCCTTGCTTTTTGAAACCTTCACCCAGGAACGCTTTGATGCGCTTTGACACAGTGTGCGTTCCACGGCTCTGACAACGTGCGCGCTTGCATGCATGCTTGAACTCTTTTAGTGTATCCTCCATATATGCGTGAATTTTTGATGTGTATGTGCATCTTTCACATTCATGACATTGCACCCAAAAGGCTGAAGATGGCGGGGGAGAACATAGTCAACCTGCGGGATGCTGAACGCATGCAGACCATGCTCCACATAGCTGAATGTTGGTATATAAATGGAACAACAGCTAAACTCGCCTTGGCCCTCAAGGCCGGGAAGCGGGCAGATTGCACCCTCGACTTCAAGCTTGAGCCACGTTTTCCCGCCCCTCTTGCTTGATCTTCGCGCAACTGCAACTCAGCCCACTTTCCGCGATCTTGCTCAGCCGCGCTCCCTGCGCCCCCCAAGCCAGTTTCACGCGGCTCCTAGCTGCCTGGCTACTTTCCCACCCATCCACACCGGCCAGCACTCTGCCACCTAGCAGCTCCCCACAGCCGCTGCAGTGGCTTTACACGGGCTTGACGCGAGCTCCTCTCCTCCAGCCCAGCCCCAAACCCCAAACAGCCCAGTTTCTAACTCCTTGCACATGCCCGCCAGCTCATTCCAGCCACCCGCCGCTCGAGTTCAAGTTGCTGGCAATCACTTTCCCCCACCCCACCAGACTGCTCAGCATCAGTTCTCAAGCCCGCATTGCGGTTGAGCCTGCCCGAGGCGGGCAGCGCGCAACGTTTACAATTACATTTTGGCCACCCACACGTCAACGGTATGAAGACACTATCCCATGCAACTCACATCAAAATGCTTGATCGGCACGGAGATAAAGTGTCCAAACACCACACCAAAAGTTAGAAGCATCTCGGCTTATAGTTAAAATAATTCACTACAGCTTACGCCTTTGAGGGATTTAGTTGACAGCACGTTTCTGAACCACCACGTGGTACCAAGCATTTGCTTGCATAAAACACATCAAGAGAAATACTGAGAAATCTCCAGTATGCTGCAAGCTTGTGAGGTTGCAACCCACTACTTACAAAACACACCTACTCAGTGTTGAGATCCTGCAAAGCTTTGCGTGTGCGCTTGCATGTTATGTGTTTGGCTGTTCGCGTTGTGGGTAGACACTGGACCCGTCTCATTGTGGTTGAGCAGGCTATGGCAGGCTCTGCTTTGGGAGGTTGGGGGTGTGGTTTTAAACTCTGCCAATCTTGCCAGAATTGCTCTTCCGGAGAGGCCTTCAGTCTCTCCAGGCTCACATCAATGACGTCCAAGGGGTCATTGTCACCAGGCGCTTGGTGAAGCTCATCATGCTCGAACGGATCACGGAAGGTCTGTGGAAAGCATCCGTAGTTGAAGGGTACCAGCTTTCCAAATGACTTAAGCCTGTTGCTTCCTTTGACATCTTCACGTATCACGTTGTCCTCCAGCGATGTTTGCAACCTCGGAAGGCACATGATGGCAAATGCAGGGTTTAGGCGGGTCTAGCAAAACAAGCCAGCACCCTCAAAATCGCAGGTGACCTCATCAAACATTGTGACCTGTGCTCCAACACCTTGGAGCCATCATCTCGAAAGCGTGCAACGCTGCCATGCTGACAGTTTGCTCGAACTTTTGCAAAGATCCTCTTGGCATTTCGTTGACAAATCGAAGAAGCCCTGTGTCCTGGCAGGCTCTGACTCGGGAACCAAGAATCTGCCCACAACAGGCGCGAATATCTCACCTGTGACTCATGTACATGACCATGAAGCTGGAGCATTCTCAGAGCACTGCATGACTAGGCCAACCAGCCTAGTAAACCTTGGCAATCCAAACGGGTCCAACTCCGCCCGCCTCGTCCAGCCAGTTTTGCACAACTAGGTTGACCTTGTGCCAGGCAGAAGCTGCATTGCCATGTAGGCCCTGGCCAAGTGGACTCGTGAGTTCCTTGCTCGCCTGCGGCCAAGTCCCTCCGACCAACAGCCTTTTCAAAACGAAAACTGCTAATTGCAACCGTGACTGGCATTCACCCATTGCCCTGCACTGCAAACATCTTGTAGTCAAATCCACTGGGACGACAAGGTGCATGGCACAGAATGCCGCTTGGCTTTCGGACCAGGGCTTGCCGCGGTCGCTCTCGAACGGTTTGAACCAATGACCGGACTGCGGCAAAGACTGTCGTCACTCCAATCAAGCAGCTCATCGATGAGATGTGAGCAAAGGCCGGAGACTTCGCCGGCTGGTACATCTTTACATCCGGCACCTCCCATGGAACACTGCAGAACGCATTGTCTGCTATCACTTTGCCAGCCTTCAAGGAGCTATTCTGCTACCCAGGACTATCTGCCTTAAACGGACACGGCCTCAACCAAGTATTGACATTATTTTGAGACACACTACCTGGATCCGCAAAGGCAAATGCATTCCAATCACGTGCCTCCAATGCTACTGCCTCAGCGGTGCCTTTTGGCACTGCCAAGAAGCCGAGACCGGGGAAAAGCAGCAGGGGTGCCACAGCGAGAAGAGCTGCGCAGCAAGTGCATGCTCCAATACCTGGAACCCACTTCACGCATTCAAACATGCCTGTCAACGGAAAACGCTTGCTGGCTACTCTTGTAAATCACTCAATCTAGAGAATAACCAGCACTGGCGCAAGATCAAATCTGAGGCACGGCCATCATTGAGCTCTTGCAGCAAATCCCTCCCTGATCGAAGTCCGGGAGAAAGCATCCGTAGGAAAACCACAAGTGGATACAAACATAAGACACCTGCAGACGCAGGCAGGATATATGCATTCCATGTCTCCAGAAGCACAGCGGTGTCCACCAACATCTCTTCTTCCGTCAATGCCTGGTGGGCTGCGACAACTTGATCTCGATCTCAATACGTCACGGAGCGGCCAAGCGCCAGCTCTTCCGTTGCAGGCACGATGGCCCAGTTGCAATCAACTTTGAGCCAGTGACATGAACAAAGGAGTTGTCAGCTCTCCCATCAAAGCAAAGGAATCCCCCCCCCACCGCAAGGGCACACATGTAGCCCCTGAATGAAATCGGAATGAGCGTGAGGGCCTTCCTCCCTTCCTCTGAGCGGGTTGAGCGCCAGTGGGACAATCGACTGTGCACCGTTGACGTAAGCAAGACAGTCAAACAGAATCAGGCAGGTCTCAACAACTTGTTTAGCTTCAGGATCCGGGGCTCAGCTGCCATCCACGACTCCGAAAATCCTTCAGGCGGGCCTTTTCGCCGATGATGATGTTGACATCGCCTTGAAGTACCACATGCATGGCCTGGCTACAGCTCCCTATCATTCTCAAGGAAGGAAACTGCCCAAGCTAGAGACAACAATACAACAATCCTTCAATGCTACTCTGTGTCCGCAAACTCGAGCGAGTTTATATTGTTGAAATAATTTTCTTTCCTGTCATGAGTGAAAACGTTGCCAACCAAGCTGTGACATTCAAGGCATTCTCTTCCGTAAGGTGAGGGCTCTGTGCCGGTTCCGGCTTGAGCGACAGTCCATCAGAAACGCCGCTGAAGCAATCAGTTCTAATCGCATTCTTGTGCTTCTCGACAAGTTTACTTTGCTAGGAAGTTTCGATGTATGCTAGTCTTGGAGGAGGTGGAAGGAAGAGTCCTGAAATGGCAGTCCCGTCTCAAACGTCAGTACTGGCACTGGGAGTACCAAGCGTTTCTCGTGAGATTGTCCACAAACTCTTGTGAACGTTCACTTCACACGGGCAACATTTCTCACGCAAACAATACATGTCATGGCCTTTCCTTGGCTGGCTTTCCCTCGACCAGCAGCTGCTCGTTTCTCCTCCAATCACTCAAAGCCACATGTGGCTACATGGAGGGGGCACAAAGTCGGAACCTTTGAACACGCTTTGGCATGCGGGGGGGGGGTGTTTGGCGAGAACGGTGGCCAGTGGTCTAGACACCTTGGGTGCACGCATTTCAGCACAGCTGCCGATTTCCGCGAGCCCTAAGCGGTCACCGATCTTCAACTTAGCTGGAAGGAAGCAACAATGACACTCAAGAGTCCAAGTTGATGCCATTGACACGGTCATCTGTGCCGCAACTGTTTTGTGGCTCGAGCAGGGTGAGATCGTCGGCTTCATCGGCTTCGGAATTTGGCGTATTCTGAACTGGCTTCTACAGTAAGACAGGGATTCTTCTCAAGTCGGGGTGCACATTGACACACTCACCATTTGCACTTTACCGACTCGCGCACATGTTCTTTTCAACATTTTGACACTGGACTTTATCTCAGCAGGCAGCTTCCAAATTTGTGACCCAGAGTGCTGCTTCGAAGGTGCGCTCTCGCTGTGGTGCTGCCCGGATGCGGCAGAAGGTGAATTTTCGCCCTGCGTGTTTCTTTTGGTGGGTTTGACCGCTCTTGCTGTGGCACAGTGCTAAATATCTAATTGGGAACATGTTTGCTTTGGCACGGTGCTTAGTGAGAACATCGAAAATAAGCTCTCTGTGGTCTTTAGGGGTGTCGCATAGCTCTCACCGTGGCACAATGCAAATTTCAAACATCAACATCGAGCCCTCGCCGGCTTTAGGTGTGTGGACCGATCTGTTTCGAGCAAATCGGAACTTGGAATTAAACCTTATGCAGTCTTCAGGTTTGCAAAATTGCCAGCACTGCAAAGCAGCGTCTTCAGGTTTGCTCGCGCTGGTGCTCGCGCTGCGCGCAGTTCATCGAAAGCGTATCCTCTGTGGCAGTGGCTCCGCGCTGCGCCAGCGCGTGGCAGACACTGCGCTCATTGCGACGCGCTCGCTGCGGAGCGCGAATTCGAAGCAGCAAAGGTGGAACCAGCCGTCGGTTCGATCGAAGTCTAAACATCCAAAATGAATCTGACTCAAAATTTCCTCACCGGGGACCCAAGGGATGTTGCTAAGAGATTCCGCGTCAGCCTTGCAAGGTCCTCCAAAGAGATCTCGCGAACATCTTGCAAAGGTTATCTGAAGGAGACTTTGCTGAGATCGATGGTTGCAAGACATATCAGCTTGCAGAGTATTACTTAGTGGCACCTCAACAAGAGATATGGGGCTGCAGAAATCCTGTGAAGCGACTATGCAAACACCCTCTCAGGGGGTTGCACAAGCATTCTGTCTGCAAAGATCCTGGGAGTCTTCTACAGGGATTTTGTTGAAATTCCTTGCACCAATCCTTCACCAACTCTTAGGAGATTTTGTTGCTCGTTGACATGCACTTATGTCATTTGTATGTGCAAAGAGGGAAAAGGCAAGGGCGCTGAAACGGTTTTAGTTGTGCGCTCTTGCAACAATGCAAACAAGCTACACAGTTTTCTTTTCCTTTGCCGGCAAAAGCAGGGTCAATGTACGGTTGGTGAAAGGTCGGTGATTTAGGGTCCCAAGGTATATAGATGGTATAGTCCCCAAATGTTTCATGCGCGACAGAGATGACTCCGGTGTTTAGAAGCTTCCACTTTGACGCAGCAACACTGTTCAGCAACACGCCTCGAGTCAAACTTCTGGCCAGTCTCCTGGGACAACCTTAAGCAATCCTCTAAGATGACTTGACTGTGAACCGGATTGACCCGAACTGACTTTTCCTGTTTGAAGCAGCAATATGCAATCCATTCTTTGAGAAACTCTTCAGCATGTATATAATATATACATTTGGCAGGCGGTCTGAAATGCTGTACTTGTGACTTTGAAGGGGTGTTTGGGATTACTGGCTGGCTTTTGATTGTTTGGTCTTTGTTTCAAGGCGGTCCGCACGAGAATCAAGGAAATCCCCTTGTCAGCGCTAGCTCAGCGCTAGCATTTTTTGGGGGAGAATCAGAAACTTGTGTTGTTTTAGGCTTGGTGGCTTAAACAGGGCTGTCCTTTTCATGTGGGGCAAGCTTTGTGTGGGACCTAAAGCAAAACCACACTTGCCTTTTGTGTGCACTGACGTCAGCCATAACTTCGACTGATCTTTCAAGCTAAGTCCATAGTAAGACAGCGAGCACAAAAGAATTGCATTGCTCAGGCCGAGCAACTGATGCTCAGGGTTCGGAACCAAGACGCCCGTTGTCAAAACCAATTGCTGCAGTTTTGCGCACACCTCCAGATACGTATGAATCCGAACAACATTCCAAATAGCTCTGCCCATGTCTGGCACAACCGAACAAACCACGAAGGCATTGAGTGAAGTGCTTTCGCTGTGGACTCTAAGCTTGCTTGCACAGGCCTCTACCCACAAAATACAAGCTGCCTATGGGTTTGCAAGCTTGGCTGGCCGTTCCATGAGGTCATGTTCTTCTCAGCACCGAATAACTTGTTCTGCCAGCCGCGCCTCCAGAATTTCTTGCTGAACAGGGAGATCAGCCGCTCAAAGCTGAAGGTGTCCTACCAAGCTGCACCCTGCTGTCCAAAAACAGAAAAGCAAACACACATACACGGCACAGAAACAGAGAGAGAGAGAGACACAAACAAAGATACATACACAGATTACACAGACTACACAGACGACACAGACAAACACAAAAACACACAGACACAAACGCAGACACAGCCAGACAAACACACACACACACACAGACACACACAAACACACACAGCCAAACAAGCAAGCAAACAAGCGAGCGAGCGAGCAAGCGAAGAAACAACGAAACAAAGAAACACCAACCAGCTAAGCAAACTAACAAACCAACAAACAAAGACACACAAACAAACAAACAAACAAACAAAACCAAAAAAACAAATAAATAAACAAACAAACAAACAAACAAACAAACAAACAAACAAGCAAACAAACAAACAAACACGCAACGAACCATATACACACGCACACAAACCCAACAAGATGCTTGTTGCAAACAACCTGGCTGAACCGTGATGGCTGCAAAGTCTCCTGTGTTCAAATGAACAAATCTTTGAATGCCCAAGGCTACAGGTAGGGCAACCTCGTCTGGCTAGAGCTCCCTGTCACAACCCCGTCCAGCGTGGAAAAGAAGTCCATGCCCTGCAGGGTCGCGGTAATCTCCAGCTTCTGTGCCTCGTGACAAGCGCTTGATGTGGTCACTGCGTGAAAACTCATGCAGCATTCCTTATACTCCCACGTCACCAACAAAACGAGTCAGCGACTGCATCACGCCTCTGTGTTGAAGGTGATAACTTGCCTGGAGTCCCTTAGCGAGGCTGGAATCTGAATGCGTGTCGAATCATACGTGTCACACCACACAGCTGGACTCTGGCAGTGAGCGGTTTCTTCTTGTTGTCTAGCCTGGAGCATTCTTGTTTGGGGACTCTACGCGCTGTCGTGCTTGCGTGCTGATTGTTTACGTAAAAGGCGTGATCTGATCAGAAACTCCCGGAGAATGTGGCTTGGGATTCAAATCTCGACATGCGACTCCGAATCCCAAGCCCCGAGCCCGGTATCCCGAGCCCGAATCAAGACTGTTTCTGTGCATTGTCTTGCGACAGTTCGATCCGAATCCAAATTTTGCAACGCGATCCTTTTTTTGCTTTGCGACAGCTTCCAACTTGACTTGAACTTGACGTTCGGCAACAATTGATGCGGCTCTGTGACCACACGCTGGATCATTGCAGTTTGGACTTCACCTTTGGCAGCAATTCGCAGCATTGAATCATTGCAGCCTCTTCGTAGCGCCTGTGATTTCTCTGGCCGCACCCTGCGTCCTTTTCGCTAGTCTGCCTAGATTCTACAGCATCTGCCTAGATTCTACAGCATCTCACGCTGGACAGCCCTTCTAACATGACAAACTCAGCGGGTTCCTCTCATGGCTGGAAATGCAAAGGGGATTTGGCAGTTAATCCATATTCCTGTATCTGGAAAATGCAATCATTGTGAGAAACCTTCCCTTTCGCGGGTCTGTCGCGACTCCATCGCCACGCCCCTTGTGGTTGCTGCAGTTCTGCTCGCAAACGCAGTAACCGCAGCTCACTTGCGAGGCACCAGAACTCTGCAACAAACACCATGGGTGCAAAAAAGCCCAGCCAACGTTTTGGTTTCTAGCACTCCCAACACAGGGAATTAAGGATTCCCAACGTAAAGGTGCTGCGCATCTCCCGGTCAAATATGCAAGTGCTACGCGGAATCTAACAATAAAAAACAGATTCCGCGAACTCCTTCGCCGATCTGTCGAGGGATTTAGACCAACATCAATGGTCGCCCAATGCATACCTCCTTACAAGGACTTTTTGATCAATCTCCATTTGACAACCACTTCCGATTACACGAAGAAACAAGGATTTCATCACCGCAAAGAATGACTGGGATCTGTGAGTCGCCCACTCCTCTGACTCCTTCGACTCTTGCGCTGCTGGCTTCTCTGGCTCCTCTGGCTCCTCTGGCTCCTCTGGCTGAAAGGCTCTTGCACATTTGTTAACATCGAACTGGACCTCCAGAGCTGATGCCCAACGCAACTTGGCACGCACACCCCTCTTGCTTGCCCCCCCCTCCCGGTCTCGCAATCAGGCTCTGTGTTCCAAAGATCCGGCACAGCCCCTTACGTCGAATGAACATGCTCACATTGGTACACCTCCTCTTCTCTCTGACTTCCGCAACCAGCCCCCTCCAAAGATGATTCGCTGTAAATACTTATGTTTCCTTATATGGCGATGCCAGTCTCGTCCCTCTCTGTCTGCGCAGAATGTCTTGCCAGTGGCTGCCACAGAATCAGGTCAAACAGTAGAGACCCACGCCTCCTTGACAGGCTCTTCCTCCGAGCTTTGTCTCGCCTTCAGATTCACCGGCTACAGTTGCGACGATCCCGCTCTGCACGTGCTCAGCACAGAAACAACACTGTGCATGGGTTGAGCATCTTATCGCCAATGAAGGGATGCATAACATGCCACCCGCGGCCTGCATCTGGGTCAATGTGCGGCTAATTAGGCATTCAAAGTTTTCACGAATGGCTCACGCCCGTGATCCAGTACAAACGATGAAACGTCACAACCAAGCAATAGCTCAACCCTTCGTTGTCATGGACCAGTGCACCCAACCTGTGAGGATTTCCGACACATTCCGACACAAATAGCAAGGCCTTTTTCCTCTTTGACCTGGCCAGAATGCGCACTGGATGCTTTCCTCTCCTCATGTACTTGGATTGCTCATGCCTGTGCAGCACACAATTTGAAGTGATGCGTTTTGATGTCTGGAGGTGGAAACCAGCGATCTGGATTGTTGGGCTTTCATAAGTTGATTGCAGGCGCCCGCATGCTCGTGTCAGCTGGTCTCGTTTTTGCTAACTTGCTGCCATTAGCCAGTCTCTCCGTGCTTGTGCCAGTTTGGTCGGCTCCGGCTTCCTAATTCCCTGGATGATCACGTTCACCATACTGTGCCATTAATCCACATCTGAGCCCCATCGTAGCCTGTTCAATTGCTACCTTGCTCTGGAAGGGGAAGCTTTTGGCATCTGCCGCTTTTGTGCTTTCCAAACGCTTGCTTGGCCTTTATCAGAATGGCCTCGCTTCCCGTCGCCGTTCGTCTGGTTTGGTCGCTTCGCTCCTTGCTGCACATGAAGTTACCAAACATAGTCACTCATTTGACATGGTCTCAGCAACTTATACACGTTGCTTTGTCGCCAAGTTTGTGCGTCGCCTATTGCTTCGCAGCATACTCAAACTTACTGCTGCTGGGAGACAGAAATTGGCTGCTTTTCAATGCGAAACGAATACCCGGAGTACAGTTACGCATCTGCAGCTGCAGCTCAAATATCACAGCTTCTCAGAATAAACTTATCATGCAAAGCAGCATGTCGCAGCTCCAGCTCCAAACTCTTAAGTTTTCAGTACGAATTTATGCAAAGTTCTCTGCTCCAGCGCGAAACTTGGTTTTGTCTTTGGGTTCTCGCGGTACCTCCTGGAGCCGAGGGCCTGAGGGAGTGCACCATTGAAGAGACAAAGTGGCGTTCGGCAATTTGCCAGCAGTACACCAGCTGTTGCCAGTGCAAGTGGTGGCGCTGCAAAGTCCAGCTGCTTCGCACGTTGCCCGTGCTTCCAGCTTTGTTTGCCGGGCATTGAAAAACAGTGAACTGGTTGAGGCGAACCGCAAGGCTTGCTTCAAAGTGATACAGATACCAGTACATGCCGTGTTCAAAATCTGCGATGGGCCATGCTGAAAACAGAGGCCATGGCCTGGCAAGCGGAGAGAGGGACACCAACCTTATCTTTTCTTCTCATGATAGCCTTCAGCCCTGATGCCGTTGCAGTTCCGAAAGCTTGTGTTGTCACACAATGTCATCTGCGCTCTGGTTCCAACACCATGTGAGTCATAGTCAAAACCCGGTATTAAAATGGTCGACCCAGAGCCATGTAAAGAATTAAGAAGGCGGCCGCTGCTATTTCTGGTTGGGATTGTCCCTTACTAACCTTCATCTACCCAGGTTTTGATTGTGGCTCATGTTGCACTTGTCAAGGGCACAAACCAAAGGCACAACGTGGCGACTCCTCCCGCCAGCGATCAATGAAGTGCTGAACAAAAAGCTTACTGGTTCGAGATAAGGGCAAGCAAAGCTGCCCTGCGTCCCCATGCTCTCCCAACCCTGGCCTCGGCCTTCCAGTTTTCACCTTCGATTTCGATGGTGATGATAATTTTGGGCCTGCTTGGCAGTCTGGCTTAGCAGGCAAAGAGTTCCAACATCAATGCTGCGCATGACATACGATTGAATCTTTGCATTAACAAGAATGATTCTTTCGACTAGACCATTGAGCTTGGAGGGATCCTGGGGCTATTTGAACAACAAATACACCTCCTTTGCATGGAGACCCCGTGACGATCCTTGTGGGTTGATGGAGTTGACGAACTGAATAACACGCAGTGTCTTGGTGACCACTTTCTTGAAGGCACCCTTCCTGGCTTTCCAGTTGTCGTCCATCGCCAAGCTCTGCAAGTTCTGTGATGACAGGTCTATCAGCAGCTGTGAGACTCTGCGTCCCCTCGCGCCTACCACACTGGTAAAGTCCGCGCAAGCCAGCACTGAAATCTGGCAAAAGGACTTGGCAATGGTGTTGTACTGACAAGTGTCCTCGTCTTTCTCTAGGAGAATCCGAGGGTCGCCCACCACTCCGCTATCGCGCAAGCCCACAATGTCCTCCCCATCTGCCCAAAGCTGAAGTTCGCCATGCTCCAGCCAGTAAATTGAATCACACACCTCACCAACTCGCGTGATAATTTCACCAGGAGCTGCGAAAATTGTGCGCAGTTTCTGCGTAAGCCTGTACAGAACGGAGTGTCTGCACCGCTTGAACAGGGGAATTTTCTGGAGCGTCTCGATCTTTCTTTTCACACCAGCATCGGACAGGCTTGCATCGGCGCAGCTCATCTTGCCGTCACTGAAGGCATGGCAATGAAGGAACGGCCCTCAAAGCGCAATCGGAGTTCTCAGATCCCGAGGCTTGGCTGTTAACATCTTTGGAGGAAAATTGGCAATGAATAACGATGTCCCAGCTAGTGACGAAACGTTCTCCTGACCATTCACACATCTTTCTGGCGAATCGGTTGCAACGAACAACATGCAGCCACTACGCCGCTACTGAGCGCAATGTTGCGGCAAGGCCCATCTTCAATGCTTTATATGGCTTCCTGCAAGTTGGCAATGTGGTTGTTAAGTGTGAGGCACCTTGTCTCAAGTACTCGTGTGCAAGCAGAACCGTAGTGTTGTGACTGCAACTTTCGCGCACTCTTCGCCGCGCAATCTTTCTTGACTCAGCCCCTTTGGGGCTGGAAGACCAACAACTAATGCCATTCAACAACTCAATAAACCAACACTGGATCCAAATGCGCTGCTAAAACATGCGGGGCACCTCAAGTAGGGCAAAAATAGCATCACAGTTCACATTTTCAATGCCTGCCAGACTTCTCAGAATGCGCCCCCAGCGCAAAACTAACATAACGAAAACGAGAAAGCTTGATGCGCTCCCTGAGGGAGAGCCACTTCAACTTTTGCTCAGGCATTGCTTGCCTGAGCAAGGCTCTACAGCTCTACAGCTGGCTTTCAAGCCTTCCAAGCACTCAAGTGGCTTTTGTTCGGAGCTTTGTCATGCACGTGCAAACCTAAAACAAATGCTAATCTCCACTACGATCATACTCTAATCTCACCGGAATCTCACCTATCCAAAGGCTTGAGGCAGGCACCTTGGGATCTTAGGCCCCCGCGACAGGAGTTAAATGTTCAGCGCGCACGGCCTTATGCAGTTCTTGCTACATGCTGATTGATCCTTGGAGATGTTCCACCCCGCGAAGCGGGAACATTCCACAAGAAGCAAATCCAGCAGAAGCAACTCAGACCTTGGATTGTTTGCCTAGCACAATGCACTTGTACAACTCTAAGGAGAGACAGCTGTTGGAACTTGTTGTGGTCCCACCAGCCTTGCAATCCTTACATGAGGGAGTTCTAGAATTGATTTTCAGTATTTGTACAGTCCACCTGCATAGCGGCTGGTTCGGAAGATACTCAACATCAGGGACTTGCATCATGCAGAGACACGCACACACACACAGAATCAATGAAGCAGTCACATTGATGCGAATTTGGACATCCCTTAGTCATGATGATCTTCACGGCAAAACTCAGCCATTGCTCTCCCTTCATACCTGAAGCACTGCATGAAACACCCTTCCGTAGACTCTTGTGAGCCTCAGTCTGCCTTTTGGAAATCAAAGGCAACCTAAACTGACTGTGGATGCTCAGCTCAGTGCTTCCAGCTCTTGCTGCCACGGCAGCTTGTCGGGCTTGCCTGGCAAATGCCAACTGAGCGCACTGCTCAGTGCTCGAGAGACTCTGGTCGACATGCCAGGCTGGCGACGGATACCGAAAGCGGACGAATATGTCGACCTAAGTCCATCTCCAAACCCAAATTTAGCTTCAAGCAGGTATCTTTGCAGAAATCCAGGGAGCAGCACACTGTGATATACAACCTGCAAAGCACTTACACATTATGCCTTCCAAGCTGGACTGCCCTGCCCAGCATCATCCTCGATTCATAAAACCCGTGAGGGCAACAAGCTTGGATCCGCACATTGACAGTTGCTTGTTCCCTCCTGTTGTTGTTGCTGCTGCTGCTGTTGCTGTTGCTGTTGCTGTTGCAGTTGCTGTTGCTGTTGTTGCTGCTGCTGCTGCTGCTGCTGTTGTTGTTGTTGTTGTTGTTGTTGTTGCTGTTGCTGTTGCTGTTGCTGTTGCTGTTGCTGTTGCTGCTGCTGCTGCTGCTGCTGCTGCTGCTGCTGCTGCTGTTGTTGTTGTTGTTGTTGTTGTTGTTGTTGTTGTTGTTGTTGTTGTGTGTTGCTGTTGCTGTTGCTGTTGCTGTTGCAGTTGCTGTTGCTGTTGTTGCTGCTGTTGTTGTTGTTGTTGTTGCTGTTGTTGTTGTTGTTGTTGCTGTTGCTGTTGCTGTTGCTGTTGCTGTTGCTGCTGCTGCTGCTGCTGTTGTTGTTGTTGTTGTTGTTGTTGTTGTTGTTGTTGTTGCTGTGCTGCTGTTGCTGTTGCTGTTGCTGTTGCTGTTGCAGTGCTGTTGCTGTTGTTGCTGCTGTTGTTGTTGTTGTTGTTGTTGTTGTTGTTGTTGTTGTTGTTGTTGTTGTTGTTGTTGTTGTTGCTGTTGCTGTGTTGCAGTTGCTGCTGCTGTTGTTGCTGCTGTTGCTGCTGTTGTTGTTGTTGTTGTTGCTGTTGCTGTTGCTGTTGCTGTTGCTGTTGCTGCTGCTGCTGCTGCTGCTGCTGCTGCTGTGTTGTTGTTGTTGTTGTTGTTGTTGTTGTTGTTGTTGTTGTTGTTGCTGTTGCTGTTGCTGTGGCTGTGGCTGTGGCTGTGGCTGTCGCTGTCGCTGTCGCTGTCGTCGCCGTCGCCGTCGCCGTCGCCGTTGCAGTCACAGTCGCCGTCGCAGTCGCCGTCGCCGTCGTGGTGGTGGTGGTGGTGGTTTTGGTTGTGGTTGTGGTTGTGGTAGTGGTTGTGGCTGTGGCTGTGGCTGTGGCTGTGGTTGTGGTTGTGGTTGTGGTTGTGGTGGTGGTTGTGGTTGTGGTTGGGGTTGGGGTTGGGGTTGTGGTGGTGGTCGTGGTCGTGGTCGTGGTTGTTTTTGTTGTTGTTGTTGTTGTTGTTGTTGTTGTTGTTGCTGTGGTGGGCATATTGGCAAGGCTCTCCTATGCTGGTAGTGCCGAGTTTGACAGGCGGGATACTTCGACTTGGCTTGTGCCGAGGCAGTGTGCATGTGTTAAGTGCACAAGGTCTCGTTACAAATAGTGGTCCGAATCTTCAAGCATGGAGATGTAGGAGAAGGAGGACAGTGACACTTGCTGCCACTGCACCCTTGGCAACACATCTCCTGAAAACCCTTGCAACCAAGTGCGCAGCTGCATTCCGCCACTTGTGTGCCAGGAGCCAGTTCTCACCACGCCTGCCAAATAGTCTGATTACAACTTGCGCGCAACTTGCATCTAACCTCACACCACTGTAGCTTTGTTCAGGTTGCTGATGGAGTGCCAATCGGCATGACATGTGCATTTGCACTCTGCCACTGCGTGAATCGACTTGGAAACAAAGAGCCTGGTAGATTGTGGCGGAACCCCGTGCTCTTTAGAAAGCAAAAAAGGGCCGCGTCAGTTGCCTGACATCATCAGTGACTTATTGTTCTTGTCGTTGTCACTTTTGCGGCCGTACCTGGCAACATGTCAAAAGCATTCGGATCTGGATTGATTGGGTTTGTATCAACATTGGTCTACATATATATTTGTTTATTTGTATGTATAATATATATATATATATATATATAATATCTATGCATCCATGTCAAGGACGTGGCTGCAAGGTGCATGACGCATGCTACTCGGACATGGCCCGCTACAGCTCTTTGCACAATCAAGCTGGGCAGTCCAGGTACTTCGAGTGGATGAAGCGAAGAAACCTAGCTTTTGGAGGCACTCGGATAGAAGCGCTACATGTCAAAGCCAAAGCTGCTGCAGCAGCTTGCAAGTCAGTCGTTTGTCTTCTGTAGTCGAAGGTCACGGCGTTCATTTGTCTTTGTCTGTAGTGCCATCTCAGGAACGATCCTTGTGCGGTAGCTGTCTGTAAATGAGCCACAGGCTCATAAATACGGACAAGGGCAAACTGGTGCGTCCTCTGGTCTTGTGGGAACAGACTGCTGGATATTTTGACAACAATTGACCAACCCTCGAATGGAAGCGGCAGAGTCTGCAGCTGAGACGTTTGATTTTACTGCAACCATGCTCTCTCGCTCTCTCTCAGTGGCTGACTGGCTGCGGACTCGGCCTTGGACCCAAAATGGCAGGGCTGCCACGCTAATCTTGCAGCAATCTAGCAGCATGAGAAATCTGCAAATCCGGTGCAGATATCCAGGCAACACAGAGAAACCTGTGCGCACACTTTGTGTTGAAACTGGCCTGGCTTGAATAAATGACGCAGGCAAGCTGCTTGCCAGTCACGCTCCCACGGCCTGGAGTGCCCATTCACGGGAGCAAAGCGGTGTCAGAGTTTGCCACTCGAGGACCAAAACTAGCCTGTACTGCCCCACCTCATGCGCTGGAGGCTCTCCCAGGTGAGTGAGAGCCCCCACTCCCCGTCAAACTCAGAATCGCTAGCGAGAAACTGGACTCCCCAACGAAACCCCTGCCTGGCTCTTTGGATCTGATTGCCACGCGCCTGAAATGGCTCCGAGGGAGGGTGTGCTACAGCTGGGGCAACTATTGCAGCCATGCAGGTGGGCTGAGACAATTGCGAATACGATCCAAGCATCAAGGTCTGCAGCCTTCCGATTCTGACGACATGATAAGTCCACTTTCAGCAACATAGTTCAAAGCCATCATCCTCGAGGGGATTCCTGCGAATGCAAGTATTTGCTGGCTGCCGGCACTCAGGAAAAAGAGGCATGTGCTTGTGGTTGGCTGGTTATTGACACAGCTTTCAAATTGCCCAACACTTGCAGAGAGAGCAGTGTGCAGGTCGGAAGTCGAAGACACGACGTGCTCTGATCAATTGGCTGGATTGCGCATGGTGTTTTTCTGAGTTGGCGATCCACTGGTTATTAGTTTGACTATCGGGTCGGGCCCTGACTCCGCAACCTTGGCTTGCAACACTTGCTGGTTTCCCCCATCCATTCATGGCTTCTAGGGGTTTCAAGTTTGCTTCTCCTTGTTCGTTTGCAGCTTTCCAGACCTCATTTCAGATGAAGAGCGACAGCTTTGCGATGCAGAGGCAAAGGACACGGCAAACTACAAGGCTTTTGCACATGCAATTGCTGAAGCAGATCAGTGCGATATGTTCTTGAATGACGTTTCACGAACAAAGCATGGGTCATGAATCCAGCACTTTGGTTTAAGCCTACTTTTCAAATAATGGGACTCAAACTGTAAGCCTTCGTGGTAATGAGTTGCCAGGAAATGCACTTGCAAACCAACCAA